ACGTCGTGTGGAAAATTGAACAAATTACCGAAAAGTTTTCGGGATTTTGTGGATGATTCAACTACCTGAAAAATACAAAAAGATCTTTGACGATTCGAACGAAAGACCTTCGCCCGGCTAGAAATGAAGTTATTTTTGGATTTTTCATGTCGTTATTTCACCTACAAATGTTCACTTTTTGTACTCAGTCTACACTGGCACTGATCGTTGGAGATTTTATCACATTACTCATTACATCGTGTTTTTGCCATTTATTTCAAAAAGAAATTAAAGAATCTATGTACACTATTCACTAATTTATTTAGGAATTTATTAAATCTATTACGCCGCCCACATAACAGCTTCTGTAGTTCCGTTACCTTCGGTACTGCAGCAGTGATTGAGGGATTTGGTCTACCCAGTTGAAGAGCAATATTTCGGCAATATGTCTTGCAATATTTTCCATAATGAAACGAACGTGTGTCTGCAGTGATTGAAGCGGACTCGTTCTTTAAAAATGCATATATATACTCTATGACTATGACAAATTATACGATTCACAAACTGAAACTTTTTACCTCTGGAATAAGCACGTCGGTGACGTAGTGCATGTTGGAAGTGGTTTCTTCATTCCAAGTTCGAACAGGTGGCATTACCATACCCATCACGACATCAAGAAAATCATCATCCTGTGCAAGCAAAATGAGGCTTAGAAATTTCATCCCGTGGGCTTGTGTATATGATGTTATTACCGGCTTAGTAATAACCTGAGTGTTTATAAGCTATACGTTTGTCTACATGGAAGCTATATTAACAATTTAAGATGGCATTACTTCCTGACTAGAGTCCCTAGTAAACATAATTATTGAACATTGGTTGATTATGACAATTACAAACGCCAAAATATAGAAATCATCTTTCTAAGGAACGACTCACACTTATAAGCCCAATTAGAAAACGTATTCATAGCGGGTGGGTGGTCACCGCAATACGAAGCGGAAGACCCCTGTAGTCTTTACAGATACAACTCCCAAGGCTCACAAATGGTATTTTTCGCTATACTTACTAATTCCTCAGAAAATGGAATTTTATATCCTGCTGATAGCCGCTTCAAAATACTCTCTCTTTTTCTTTTCTTTCGTGTTTATGAAAGAGCGTATTCCTCACACTTTCAATTTCATTTGTTGCCACCATCTTTAAATGCCCCTACACAAGGTCATCAATAAGACTGTGGTGTCCACATATATCAAGTTAAACATGTAATATTCGTTTTGATTTGTGGAAATCGCCATGGTACTTATTAATACGCCCTTTCGATAATCACGTCACACATACTTTTTGGTCTTGGAGCCTCGCTCTCATTAGTAAATTACGCAAGGTGATTGGCTCACAATTCATGTGAGCGAGGCTCCCAGGCCAAATGACGTAATTGTCGAAAGGGTGTATTGCAATGAATCTTACAACAATCAAATGCCAAAATGCAAATAACTTAAATTTCAAGTATTTATCACTTATACCTCAACTGCTGTTTCTAAAATCAGTAACATCCCGTAAAATTATTATAGAGAATCACCTTTCTGTTTACACTATTTCAGATTGGAATGTAATTCCAATCTCGCGCCATTTATACCAATTTAAGTTAGTTCCCATTGATTTAAATTGATTCTTTGCAACAGTTGTTTACTGTGGCAATATCTCTATTGGTTCCTGAGATAACGGCTTTTCAATTTTTTATAGCAAAACAGGTGTCCATTATCTGGTACACAAAATATATGGTATTTCGGGTGTCATTTTGTGTCGTTTACCCTATGAGCAGGAAAACTTGCTCTTTACCATTTTAAGACGTGTTAAATTAGAATATGATGTCAAAATGAACATCACCTGATGAGAAAAGCTCATTTTCTAAGCTTAAAAAAGACAATAATTTTGCGAAACTGGAGCAGAGTATCATATTACATATTAAAAATTTTCCATGTTGACCATCTAGCACCAATTTTTTTGGTTATTCAGATATGTATATAACATGAATTACTTTCACCAAGTTTTGACTTGGTGTCCTCTCTACTTCCAGAGAAATATGCAAACAAAAATAATAAAGAAATTTCTTAATTTTGATATAATATAAAATAGCTGGTGTCACATTAGAAACTTTAGAAGTCACAAATTAAAACCAGGCCTTTAAAACTTGAAAGCTTAAATACGCAACACTTACAAAACAACGGTACCTCCGAAAATAAACATTTATTAAAATACTCAGTGGTTCCCGTAATTTTCAAGACTTATATTTTCTTATTTTACAAACATGTATTAATTTAAATAATTTAATTGCTACCTTTGAGTTCTTTAGCGAATGCTTGTTCAATCGTGTCGATGTCTTTGTCGTCCAGTGTGTATTGTCTTCCTGTTCCCGTGACAGGTGCTCCAATGATGCATCCAACATCACAATTGGTACAAAACATATATAATATTTCTTTGGACAAGAAAAGGATCTTGCTGGGAGCTTGGATGCATAAATTTGACTCTAACATCCTCATGTTCTTTGTCCATTAAATCAATGAGCTCAATCAGTATTTCTCACCATAAGAGCAAACAACAAAATCAAACACTTTTGGATCTGATTGGATCTTAATTGTGTTCTTTTTTCCCAACACCAGATTATACTCTAGTGCATAGGACTCGTCTTCCGAAACACGTTTAGTAGCCATAACAGTCTCCGAGAGAGGAAGGAATTGGTGAAAGCTCCGTGTGCCAGGCAGCGTACTCGCGGTGCTAAACCTTGTCTCCAACATGCTTCTCACAGTATCCATGTTTTCGGTTGAAATAATGGAAACAAAAATTCCCTTTATTTCTTCTTTGCAGTACTCAAGAACTTTGCCTTGCTGTTAAGATTTGGTAAGAAAGTGTTCTCTGAAGACTAGCTCTTGCGGTTAAACGCTTCAGCGTTCGGCCAAGCCCATCACATGGAGATTTGCCATGGCTTGTAGCAAAAAATGACCAAATACATTTCACATCAAAGTCCTTTTCATGAAGGCAAATGTTAATAAAGTTCTTGAGTTTTTGTTCTGTCCAGCACAGCCATCACTAAAATAATCCATCAGACTTGGTGTTGTAAAAATCGCCACCTTAATGTGATTCACAGTTTGCTTGATAATTATAACTTCATAGACAAAACATGTGTCACAATTCAAATCATCAGAGATTTCTGTGTCAGTGTACATTCCTTCTTATAGTACAAAACGATTGGATGTAGGGTACAAGTCTGTTTGTTCAAGTGAAATCCTTGGATTTCATCTTGAAATCTACTAATAACTTATAATTCTCTGCGAAATCTCCCAAAACAATTACCTCAATTTCTTTCAGTTCTTCCTTACACTTCTTAAGATTCTTCGCCTGAGCTTTAGCAATATATGAATGCGCTGTAAGAGTGTTGCGTTTTTGAACCAAGAGGGATACAAAATCTTCAAATGACAGGATTTGCTGTACCAGCTCTGAGCAATCAACAGTTGTCCACTGTTGGAACTGGATGTTCAGCAGTTCATCTTTGCCATGTTCGTCGATTTCTGGTTGGAATTCATGTAACAAATAGTTTTCCAAGGCTTTGGTGTCAACTGGGCAGTTAGGACAGCGGTGAACCATACACTCTTTCGAATCCTTGCTGCACACAATCATGCCCATGAGTTCATGGTGATCTCTATCAAGGTTTACTGCACCAAGCATTAGAACAACGTTTTGATGAATGGTGCATACTTAAACAGAACGGGTTCCCGAACATCCAACCAGCACACACCATTTTGGTCTCAAACTACAAAACTTTGAAAAACCAACTTCTAAATGTGAGAATGTCTTTTTTAATTCAGCATAGAGCTCTTTCATATCACTAAGCAAAAGCCTTTTCTGCATGTGTGTGTTTCTTGCTATGCTAACAAAATCTTTTTTCCATGGCATTAGTCTACTATATTCATCATCACAATAAACGTCAATGACATGATTTGCCTAACCGTGTAAGCAGAGACATTCAATTCTGTTTTGGTTCTCTCAATGGACTAAAAAGCTGGAGCTATAGTCAAAATTTGAATTTTCTGCCTTCTTTTGGAAATTTTTATTTTGTTTTTCATAAGATCAACAAGTCTGTCTAAATTATCCGCCTTTTCTTTCATCTCTTTGTAATTTTCTGGTTGACCGCTCTCTGATGGTGTTAGATCTTCTGCCATAACATCGATAACTTTTGAAACTGGTAGTTTCTTGATCTTTCATTTTCTCACGCAACCGGTCCAATTTACGCTTACCTAAAACGACTTTAATCGACAACTGTAGCCGGCATTTGCCATCTTTGAAGCCGGCCATGAGTGTTTTCTGCAGGTGAGTGCTTCTGATGGGATTTTGTTTGTTTTTTTAGTTTTTTTTGGGTTTTTTGTTTTACAAAATGGATACGAAAAATATGGCTTAAAATTTTCTCACTTTTACTTTCTTCAAAGTATTTACATTTATCCCAGAGCACACTTAAACAAAGCAGCTTTTGTCTAAAGCACATAAAAGAAGATAATATTCTTTAACTGCCGAAACTCAGCAACAACAAAAAACACGCGAAAATTTATGGGATTTTTTTAACTTTTTTCTCAGTTTTTAGTCTGTCCAGAAAGAGGTCAGAGACAATTTTATTCATTTTATGTAGAAAAATCTTAGATACGGTTGTTAATGGATGTGCAAACATCCAGAAACGTACTTTAATAAGTTGAAATTAAGGATTAAATTAGTAAAAATACATCAGTGCAGTGATTGTTTATTTTCATATATACCTGCGAACAGGGCTATATCTGAGCGCCTGAAATTTAGCCTCGCCCAATCATTGGCCCTTGCCATAGGAGATATCATTCCAGTTTACCTATGGTTCGATGGGCTGCAACTGTCTGCGGTTCAGTACGTCCGACAAGGACAAAACCATAACCATAACTGGTTTATATCGCAATCTGATCGAACCAAATGGAAAGCAGGCCTAACTGACAAAATTTTACCATGTAACCTACAAGTAAAATAAATTAATTTTGACAAACAAATTTGGTGATTTCATAGGAAAACGAAATTTTCGACTTTAGGTGCAGATGAAAACTACTAAAGTGGACATTAAGGCAGGGGTACACATGCATGGATTGATGGCCATTTTTGAAATGGCTGTAATTTTAAAGATATTCACCAAAGTTGTTACAAACTATATATCAGTAGAAAGCTTATGACCTATATAATCTAAAAACACTAATCATTAATACTCCTCTGTAACCTGACACTAGACCGGCAATCGTACCACATGCTGTGAAAAACTAGGGTGCATATATGAGAAACGATATCTGCTTATCAATTGCCTAGAATTTTAAGAACGTCTATCAGTAAGTAGCATAGGTATCATTGTGTTAAATGAGCATAGAACTTTTTTATCATAAATCTAGTGGTCACAGAAGAGCTACAAAGCTAACATCGGTTTTTTCGATAATATTTTTTTGTCATATAGTGTATTCCGCACTGCAGGGTACAGAAATTTTCTTTGCTGATTTAAGACAGCTCTAATAAGCCCTAAACATTTCGGGAAAATTGGTTAAATACATCATGAGATATCTTTTCACAAAAACAGAAAATGTGCATTCCGGGAAAACAAGTTAAAGTTTTTAACCAACTGTTCGAGTTGTTCCTGACAGGTTTCAGCGACTTTAGGCTAATTTTTTTGTCATTAGAAGTACTTTTAGCAACTCAGAAGCCTCAAGCCTCATAGGTCCCTTCTGCTTCTGATAGAGCGTCTTCTTTCTGTTTTTTTTTAGCTGCTCAGCCTGTCGACGTGTTTTGTTTTTTTCAGATGTCTGGCGGTCAGACTTTCTGACCTGTTTCTTGTCTTTTAAGAGCAAAAGATTTCTTTGTTAGCTCACCAGCACGAATTGCAAGTCGTTGCATTACTCTTTCTGTCTCTGCTTGCAGCACCGCTACGAAAGTGGCAGCTGCAGCTGCGGATCGCACAACGTTCACTCCATAATTATTGTGCTTCGGACACCGAGCCCACACTAGAGAATTGATTGACTCATTCTTATTCTGAGTTGCACCTCTTACACACCTTTCCAACAGTTTACTGTCACTGAGGTTTACGAAGGTTCGTTTTAGCTGTTAAAATAAAACTTCTGACAAGCCATCGTCCCCATTGTACATAGATGTTCCCAAAGCTCAATCTTGCTGCCATTTGCACCACGAGTTTTGTTCAGCATGACAAACTAACAGAGAGGTTGTGGTAAACGTATTTTAGTTGACATTGATCATCGGCGGAATTGTGGTCGGCGAATCTGAAGGCATGCAATCGCTAAGAATTGTCAACCGTGTTGTGACGATGTATCGTACCGGGTTTTGCCGAAGATCTACTGAAATTTCGTTTATACTGTTAAAAATTACAGACAATTAATTTGGATTAATGCGCGCTGCCACTTGGTCGTACAGTGGTACATGATGCTTAAGTGATATAATTGATGTGATAACGTTTTCATATCAATGTCAACATCCTTTTTCGCAATTCGTCTAAAGTCAAATCCATTTTTCCCACTTAACGCAACAACAGTAAATGAACACAAAGTCTAAAACCTTTCAATTATGTGTTCAAAAATTCTTATAATACTTTTATATAATAATATTTTTTTACTATACGCTAAATGTTAAACTGTTTATAAAGGTTTCAATTCTGCTGAGAAGTGGGGCCCATACCTCTCTTTCATCGTATATTTGACCAATCGTAGTTTTGCTGGCTTTCGATGGCTTTCGCATATCAGCCAGTTAAAGAAGAGGGGGTTCAGGAAAGGTCGCGTGTGATGATGCACGTGATAATGGCTGTCCATGCACGCTTTAGGAATATCCTAAAAAATATCTATAATCTTTTTAGTAACTGTAAAAGCCTGACTTTTTGGGGTTGTATTGCCGGATACCGCTGAATTTCGTCTTGGAAGGTGTAATTTGTTTGTCTACGGAATGGCTTTCTATTGGACTAACCGTCAAGCATTGTTCCTGGACGATGTCAACGAGCTGTATCTTTGCCAGCTTCAAGGCGTTTTCTTCCATGCCACTGTTGTCGACAAAGTGGAGATGTGAAACGCAGCTTTTCATACTTTTTCAATGGCATTTGGTCTGCATTCGGCTGGGTATCTCATCTTAATTCTGTGACCAGTACAACTTATAAGATGGAAGTTGTATGATACTCATCTTCAAGTGCATTCCGATAAGTTGTTCGGTCTCCTTGATGTTGGTATTAATTGAAGTACCAGTTTTGTGGGTGCTGTATAAGTTGGTCTGTTCTACAACTAAGTCGTTTATCTCATCAGGCCGAAACTGTCTGAAATATTCCAGTGGTGACTTGGTCTCTTCAATGTCATCTTCTTCCGAATCAAAATCATCGCTTCCGTCATCACTATTGTCATCATTGCCACCGTCATGATGTTTTCTACCTCAGAGTAATTTCCATTTAAGATGCTCTCAAAAACATCCTCAAAACTGGCTTTTTTAGAATTTTCAGGTGCCATTTTCTAAAAATACATAAATATTCAGCTCACCCTACTGTCTAGTGTCTAGTAGCTATATATTTGTAACAAATATTTGTTACAAATATATTGCTATATATTTGTAACATGAATTGTAATAGTGCTTCAGTGTCAACTTTCCATGTTTGAGGGAACATGACAAAACCTAGTACCGGGATGAAATCTACAACTTCCGGCAGAGCATTCGCTTGTTTATTTTCACATGAGAAATTCATAGGGTTCGCAGCCGAGAGTCGTGCGCACCATTAAGGTGAGAACTTAATATGGATCTGACCACTGCACCACTGAAACCCATGAACATGATGAAAAGGAATAAAATCAAGCTTAGAATAGTTTTACTAATGTTACCGTTGTTAGGTTCTTTGATGCCAATAACACAGGAATTAACTCCAAACGTCTTTATTTAATAGTGTATAAAACACTTAGTATACAAATTATATATCTGACTTCGTTATATCTTCTAAATCCTTCGCTGACTGTAAACCTTTTTTTATATTGCGCCACACATGTGCGCTACATACATGTTATTTATCAATCAACGCGTAAACGTCATTCAATGTCCGGTAAAAGCTAATTGCTCTTATTAATTAACTCCTGACATACTAACACTAACACATAGTAGCCTATATACACAGTATGAGTATATATACATAAACATTATAAAAACAGTGTAAAAATAAAATGTTCAACTGGTTTAACCTGCGGCCAAGAGGCCCAATACTGAATACAAAAGGAAATATTTACTTGCTGTTAACTATATTCAAAGGAAATTGCAATAAAATACAACACATGTTGTGTATTTTATCAAAGATATAATGTTCATGTAATCTGAGCTTCAGTGAACATGCCAACTTCGACTGTCCCCACGCTTGTTAACTGGTCACCGCGGCGTTTTCTAAACATCACACAATGGCAATCTGAAACGGATGGTTTGACGGTGCGTGCACAAGTCTTTCAAAAACTGGTTGTCATCCTCTCCCACCAGCATTTCGCCGCCGTCGAAGAGATGTACCTTCTCTTTTTTCCACTTCAAATATACTGTTACCCACGTCCAATGGTAAATCGTTGGCATTCCAGGATTGGGGCAGGGCTCTGTCACGTCGAACGATTTTGCGTAACTCTTCATGCAGACGGTGGTGAGCGCCTGGACAGTAGTTGGAATGGCAGTGCACAAATTTACAAACATATAACTTCATATACGTAAACTTATAAAAAGATTCTTATGGACACTGAACCAATAACTAAGATAGTTCACAATGGATCGGAATTCAAAAAAGTTTGAACTCTGCCTCTTCTTTGACTCGGGTGATCCATTTCACAATCAAAAATACAATTTATAAAAATACAATTTATACCCTCACATGTAAACGCCAGCTCTTCAAACGTTACGCGACGCTAATAGTATTCAAACATTACTGACGTCACGCTTCAGTATTCAAACTTTACGTCACACCTCTTCATCTCCGCCTGGACTTTATAATAATAATAATCGTAATCATAATCATAGGGGGCTACCTACTAGCGTGCTCAAAAGCCCCGCAGAAGCGTGTTCAAAAGTTATAGTATATCAAAATAAATATTCAACTTTCTTGCAGCAACAAAGGTATTTAATATCACCGTATAGACGTGCGTCATGTAACCTGTGCCGGACACTTTTACCAACAGGTGAAATTTGATTGTTAATGGCTTTCCATTTTGCACCTGTATGTTCACACAGTTTAATGGTTGACCTTTTTACCTGGACTTTTTACTAGAGCACACTTTGCGCAACTTTACATTATATCCGAACGCTTGTTTCATTAACTTTATAATGCCTACGGGCATGTATAAATTTGCTTTAAGTGCAGTATTGTCTCCAAAGTAATAAGCTAGAAATGATAGTCGAACTAAAGATGTTCTTAAGTTGTAGTGTTTTATTAAATTTTCAATGTGCTTGTTTGTTCCTTTTTAGTTTGCTCCAGCGAACTATTTCATCATTAAAATGTTTAACTCAACCTGATCACAGTATAAGTAGGAAATCTTTTCTACGACTAATATGAGAACCAGAATATGAGAACCTAAACCGACGATTTTTATTACATAACAGAAACTTTGGGAGCGGAACTTATCCTTTTCTTCTAATATCTGATGACTGGACGTTTTCTATTATTTTATTATAAATTAGGATCTACCAAGTTTCTAAAAGTAGTGTCTCCCTGCAGAAAATGTTTAAATAGGCAATGTTGTAGCTGAATGCATAATTTAATTAACACATGTTAAGAACAAATACCTTTTTTGTGTTGTGTTTGTGTATCGTGTAGTTTTCTCTTGTTCTTGTATTCAGTACTCATATATGGTAATTTCAAAATATTTATTTTATTTTAAAATGTTTATGTTATTTTAAAATATTTATATATTATTTCAAAATATTTATGTTAAAGCAGTATATCTTTTTCGGTTTTACTTCCTCGGTAATGTTTATTGTGTTATATGTCAGTCGATGTTTTTCCAACCTGTCTTGTTTTTGTTGTTTCTTTGTCTCTGTCGTGCACAACATCTCAACATTCTTCCCATGACATTGCCATTATGTAACTAATCAGTTTAGTTGTGATTATAATCTGTTCCAAAGCAATATTCAAACCAGAACAAGACATACAGTATAGAAATTACAGTTTTGATGGACACATGTAAATTACTGAATTCATCTGATGCGGTATAAACAAAACAACAGGGTCGCCTGGAATAAAGATGTGTTCCTTACACAGTGTATGGTTGTACAACGTTGTTACGAAGGATGCATGAGCCAAGGACATTCACAAAATGAGTTGGGAACGTAACTACTTTGAAGTTTCGAAACGCCGAACATTTGCGGGGAAATGTGAAATATCAACGATCTTCATTGGGGGAGCATTCATTTGTTCTTTCTCAAAACACGACTTGGAAATTTGTTTTGAGCAAAACGCAATCGCATGTGGCCGAACCAGAAATAACTGATGTTTGAAAGTAACTATAAAAGAACTATATTTCGTTAATGAATATTTCACTATAATGAAGCGAAAATATTATATTTTAAACATAAGGGAAAGTAATATAGTAATGTTTATAGTAATGAATACATGTGTATGGTAATAAATATTTTTTCTGCCATTCAATTGTATCCTTTGAGTTAATCCTCTCAATTTATCATGTTATTTACAACATGCTATAGTTATATACCAGCTTCTAAGATGCTGTTTATATGATCTCGGGTACTAGGGACACCCCCCCCCCCCCCCCCCAGCTACCCTGGGAGAGGCAACATTATATTCATTATATAACATTTAAGTGTTTATATGAAAAGTTTTCAACTCGTCTCGGCTGGTGGGGTCACCCTAGCGGTAGGGACACCCTGTTTACAAAACAGGGTTACCCTTGTAGGAGGGACAACTTTTGTCCATGTAAACAGTTTGCGTTGACTTGCCTCGGCCTCCAGCCGCAAGTTTTTAGACCTACGCATGCTCAATAGAAACATATTCCCCGGTCTTCATACTTCGTTGTCTTGCTCAAACTCTCTATTTACTAGGTTTACATTTGATGTCCACTATTTCCACCTTTCACTGACTAAGAGCGCATGTGATTGGTTAATAGGGTATATTAAACGAATCTGATTGGTTAATGGTCCTTTGATGGTAACCAATATTGGTAAGGGGCTTCAGTGGTGCAGTCGTCAGAGCAAGCGGCTTTCACCTCTGAGATCGTGGGCTTGATTCTCGCTACGGCCTCATGTGAAAATAGTTTGTCAACGCTCTGCCGAAAGTCGTGGGTTTCCTCCAGGCGCTTCGGTTTCCTCAAACAGGTTGACAAGGTGGGTTAGGATAAACACAGTTAAGAAAATAATCACATTGTTGTAAAGATTAATAGTCTGGGCTAAGTTAGTAACGTCTTTTATAAATCTTCACTACAAGGAATTGGAGCTTGGAGGGAAACACATCGACAACTGAACAAGAAATGCACTTATATGCAAAAACCCCTCGCCCACATTTTTCATGAAGCATTCTAATTACGCCAACACGGAACGCCGGCTCGCGTTGGTCGCGTCATGTTGACCATGGCAACGCGATAATTGTTTTCTTAATCTTTTGAACAAAAAAACGGCAAAAATAAATTAATGTCTTACACTTTTAACCGCCGAACTATTGATTTCTGAAATATAAAAAGTAGGTATGTTATTTTGCTTTCTATAGGCTTGATTCAACACGAAACGCTTCGTTGAACGTTTTTAAATGTTCATTGAAATTAACTGCTTCTTTCCGATAAACTCTTCAACTTATTACTCGCACTTTGAATTATATGAAATAAATTTTAATCTTACAGGTCTTGAAAATAATTTGCTGTCCTTTTTTTGAGCTTTATTTAATGAATTTAAAAAAATTAATTAATTCAAAGAAAATTTCACACACCGGTATAATGAAAAGGATAGCTATAGTGCTGTACATGTTCAAGCAAGGTCTTCAAGCGAAAATGGGACAGTAAAGTCAAACATAAACAGTAAAAAGAATCCAATATTTCAGGATTTCTCACATATCGTTTCTTTAAAATTTGGAAAAGGTGATTTACTATTAATCTTTGCTTACTTCGCTCCTGGCAAACAGCTATATTTTTGTGATCAGTAAGATGAGCACCCATGCATAGCCATTCGCCCGCGATTGTTGATGAACTTTAGGTTTCGCTTGTGCTTTCCCCGGGTGTAAATAGCCGGCCGGAATTAGTACTCTCGCCACACGCTTCGCGCTCTACACGTGGCTCGGGGATTAACCAAATTCCCTTTTGTAAAAATTGTTGTAAATATTGTTTGTATTCTGAATGTATATATGTACAACAACAACAACAACAACAACAACAACAACAACAACAACAACAACAACAACAACAACAACAACAACAACAACAACAACAACAACAACAACAACAACAACAACAACAACAGCAATAATAATAATAAGAAGAATAGAGCATTTAAGATACGCTTATGATACGCGTATCATACGCAAATACTAACAAGATATACGTGGGCGGTGCTGAGGTCAAGTGTAGAAAACAAGGACAGAATCCACGCCTAGTTAAACTATCTTCAAAACGAAACAAGATCGAAAAGAAATGCGAAATACGATGCAGACGGCACCTCAAGGAAGAACAGTTTCGAAAAGTGACAGCAATACTCAGCATGAATAAAATTATTAGAATTCAGCAGTTATTCTGCCCTTTCCCATGGCTGCTGTTTTTGTTATAATTTTATGTGTTAATTATTGCACGGCTTTAATAGTGTAACTTCGCCAAATTGATGTAATTGCTCCGGCTTGGTATGGCGCGCCAGACGAGACAACAATACTTCCTGCAAAATACAAGACTTGTTTGGAATTAGGAAAATCAGACTTGTAAATATGCGTATATAAAATTTTCTGGAAGAAATAAAACCTTTTAAAAAAGAACAATACTATTTTTCAAAGTAAAACTTGACTGAAAGACGTTTATCTTCGCACAAGACTTGCTTTAAAATATAGAGTTTTTTGATATACCCAATTGCGAGCTCAGAAGATTGTGGACGTGTTAGTTGAATAGTGCGTCTCAGACCCCTGTACAGATCGCGGACATTTAACCACAATTTTCAGTCAACCAAAAAATCGAAAAAGAGTCATATAGATGTTAGAAGTTAAGACAATTCAATATTTGAATAATATACTGCATGACGTGCATTTATTAACCTAAAGGTGTTACCAAGCGTGCAATATTTTCATGTATAATGTGTAGATTTGTTTCTCTTCCAATTTGGAAAAACATACACTTCTGTACTTTACAAAGACGTCAAATTGCAGTGCTCTTTCTTCGGTCTCATGCAATTTTGATTGTCTTTGAAAACTCATTTGTGCATGTTTCCTTCCAAATGGCCCGAAACCATACTTATCTAATAACTGCAGTGTGCACATTATAATATATATAGCGATTTCTTAATGGGTAAACGTATGGTATTTTCGTACGCGTTAATTTGTTTTCACAAAACGAACGAGCGAGTGAGTTTTGCGAAAACAAATCAACAAGTGCGAAAATACAATACAAAAGCACTTCCCATTTACTAAATTTGTTTATTTTATAGATACTGATATTTTCTATTAAATGGATTGCCTTTATTTAACATAATTTGGTTCATTCAAAAGACAAAGGCCATGCAAAGTCAAGATAAAGCACTGCAAAGTGCAAACAAAACTTCATTTTTGGCATTGTATATTTTCTTTAAATCGCTTGTACAGGAAAGTTTTACTTTACTCTCAAACTAAATTTGACATTAATATATAGTCAACAAGGCCTATACTAGTATAACAAACAATATTTTTTCGTTTAAAAAAGAGAAAAATATAATTCGTTTCAAAAACTAAATAATATTATAATGCAACTTACATCGCTGTTGTTTTCGTGTAACTGGCATGATGTTTTTTGTCTCTTTCGTATTCCCTTTCAAAAAAAAAATTCATATTTGACTCTTATAGTGTTGTAAATCTTTTGCAAACATACGAGTCAAATTGTCCAATTCAAATTAAAAATTGACTTTAAACAGCAAGAAAAACGCAGCAAACTGAATAAAATTCTGCCAAAAACATTGCCGACAGTGGACGAATTCTCTCATACGTAAACACAGGCCACTGCTGATTGGACGAAAAGTTTTTTGCACGTGAGAAATAATCGTTTCGCGTTTCTGATTAGTCTCCTACGCATACCTACTTAGCGGGCAGTGCCCTCACGTAAGGTATGCTTACTTTGGCCAAGAATTCCTTTCCTCAAAATTAGCCAATCACAGCTTTACCCACGAAAATTGTGGGGCTTGACCTTTGACTGACCTTGAGGCTTGGGTGAGTTGGGTCGTCAAAAGTTTCAAAACATTTAATCTTGAACATTTCATATCTTGATTTGTACGTATTCATATCTTTAATAAGCCGATTATCTGCGAGAGCTGAGAGATATATTTGTTATACATATACCAGTCTACAAATTTACAATATGGAACAATTGTAAAATCTGTTAGAATTTGTCGAGCTATTGTTTTGAACAGACAGTGAAATACAGTGTAGTAAAATCGAACAATATCACCTAAAATATTTCGCGATGTTTTGATTACTTTTATACAAGCGTTTGCAGCAGGTGTTACTGTAACACGGGTAATATACTGGACAAAGAGGTCAAGACAAAGTCAGTAAAGTTTAACAGTGTACATCACTGCGGGTGTAGATAATAGATTTATAAATAGTTAAATACCAATTGAAGATTACAGAATTCAGCTTATATAAAATACTGAATTAATTCATTGCATATTTCGGTTTCTTAGTTTGTATATGACTAGCCAGTTTATAAAGTTTAATAAAATCGTAATTACGAAAGTCGCTCTGATAATGAACGTTCGGAAACTTATAGTATATATTGAATATACAAGTCACGCAGTCGCGTCAAGTTCAAAACAAGTATATTTAATACCAGTGCATAGTTTTATATACATTTAAGCCTTCGACCTATCTATCGCGTAATTTCGTTGGAAAAATATTCAATATTTTCTACTTCGACTGCTATTGATCAGAAAACTCGATCTGTTCACATTTACGGCCATTTAAATACGTATATACCGTATTAATATTCGATTATCGCACGCTCCTTGTTTACACTTTACAGCTCTGACTTTACAGTTGACATTCAAAGTGGGCGTGTCTAGTGTATTTGAATGCTATTGGCTAATGGAATACAATTGGAAGGCGAATTGCTAGCCAAAGTAAGCAGACCGTACGTGGCGGGCCCAAACCCGCTAAAGTAGGTCTGCATAGGAGACTAGTTTCTGATTGGTTGACGTTAATCTTGAAAGGGCTTTTCACATTAATAAAACCGTGCGTAAATATCAGTATCTATATAACAACTACTGATTTTAACCTACTTGCTTTTAAATGGGTTTGAATTGATAATATTTTACATATAGTTACAGTTTATTAGAAAGGAAAAGTGCGTCAAAGAAAACCACACCAAACGTGAGCAACACAGCCAGGACATGAAGAATCAGTGAGTAATTGTTGAGAACTTCGGCAGCTTTTTTCCACTCTTCGTCTCTCGCTGCCATTTTTATCTGTGTTTCAAACACTTTCGCGATTACCTTGTCATCAGCCAAAGATTGTATTGGGACCCTTTGTTTCTTTTTTTGTTCCACAATAGTACCAAGCCCTTCTACAAAAATATATTAAGATTATTTTGCCAAAACTCATATTTCTTTTTATTTGTTTTACATGTACTATATGTAAAGTATAAAATGGAAGTGTACTGTCATAGGCGTACGGGAGGGTGGGGCTGGGGGTCTGCAGCCCCCCCCCCCCAATTTTTGAGAATTTATCTATTCGGGCAAAAATTGTCTTGTCATTCGGGCAACGACGGTCTGGTGATTAGACGAATATATTGATCCATAAAGCGGAACAGAAGTATTATTTCAACAAGTTCAACTTTTACGTAAGGTTCAATCATGCAATGGAAATCTGTAATGGCAACGTTTCACTACGTTTGTGTATATTTATTAATACCATAGATCGCATGCATGAGGTTAACCTTTATTAATTTAAAGGTCAAGTGCTCTAACTTAACCGGATTTGGTTTTGATTTTTACGTTACGCACATACCACAGACGTAAATCCCAAACCATACCTAATTTTAAGAATTTTTTATTACTGCACAGTTTTGTGCAAAGTTTAGTCGAGCAGAATCACGCCTTGAAAATTTCTGAACACACCCTTATAATAATGTGTAACAACAAAGCAGGCTACTATTCGTATTCAAAAATGCCAAAACGAACATACACTGCACAGCACTCAGGGAAATTTGGGGGCCCAGGACAAACTTTGACTTGGGGGCTCTCGTGATTCCATGTTCTAACACTATGATTCCCTGGTCCGGGGGCATCACCTGGAAAAATTTTGAATCTAAGGTCCCAGAAATGGTCAAATCCTGCATTCTGGAAGTCTAGTTGACAGTTAGTTATATCTATGTACATTTCACTGCAATTCTTTATTTGGGTCCACCTTTAACTGGGGTCCCAGGGCAAATTGCACCCCTCTGGGCGGCCTTGACAGCACCTGCAGTTACGACTATCTGTGACAGCTTAGTTTCATAATAACATGACTGAAGAAAATGAATATTTTCGTCTTGGCAAATGAAAGGCGGCTTACGGGCTTAGGCGTGACAAACCTCTAGAGGAGTTCCAGGGGCATGCACCCACAGACAATTTTGTAATCTATATAGGCACTATAAAAGGATATCTCCTGCAATGTGCGGGGACATTCTATAGAATTCTGAAAATTATACAGTAATTACAAAATCTTATAAGTATCATTCACGCCTTCTTCCAAACTCATAAAGAGATCTTTGGTGAGAGACTTTGTTCATCTGATGAACCATAAGTATGTTATTAATGCGGACGTTCGATAATTTGGCAGTCATCATTTCAATTTCAATTAAATCATTCTCATTCAAAATGTTTCGCCGGATTAATTCAGTTTTTCTGCTCATTGTCTCATTTTCTTGTGTTAATTAACAACTTATCAAAGCAAATTTTATCACTGCACATTTTACATTTTATCACTGCACATTTTACTTTTATCACTGCACAAATTGGTTATCACTGCACACTAAAATTAGGCATGTCCCCAACAACGAAGGAACAATTGGTATGGCTACTAATAAAATGTCACTACTGTATTCATGCCTATATTCATCAGTTTACCTAGCATAATGTATAGGCTATACAACTATTAAACTTTAAAAAACTCATTAATAATTCAGGAGCAAAACACAAAGAAAAAGCTAAGGTATCGTAGTGTGATAGTAACAAAAAATCAGTAATTTACATAAACTTTAGCTTTGATTTTCTCGGTTTAGACAAAGTTTATTTTAAAATTTCTTCGCCAATGAACTCGTATAAGATGAGTCGTTTTTAAGCTATTTAAAGCACTTGTAGTCGTGTTTTATCGCATATAAAACACTCCGCTACGCGTCGTGTTTTATATGTGATAAAACACTCCTACGCGTGCTTTAAATAGTATATATATATATATATATATATATATATATATATATATATATATATATATATATACCGGGTGGCGCAAAAAAAAGTATAACTGTTTGATTACATATAGCTCAAAGACCATAAGCAGTAGAACCCAAAATCGAGTTTCATTGCATCCAGCGATGTCTAACTTAAATTTTGGTATATTCGACAGGCATTTTCGTCCAAGATTGACTGAGATATGAGTGTTTAAACTTTTGTTAGCAAATTTGAAACGGTCACAAATTAGCTAAAAACGGCCTATTAAACTGATTTTTAGCTAATTTGTGACCGTTTCAAAATTGTTAAAAAAAGTTTAAACTCTTATATCTCAGTTAATCTTGGACGAATATGCCTGTCAAATATACCAAAATTTAAGTTAGATATCGCTGGATGCAATTAAACTCGATTTATGGTTCTACTGCTTATTGTTTCTGAGTTACAAGTAATCAAACAGTTGTACTTTTTCTTGCGCCACCCGGTATATATATACATTATATATATATACATTATATATATATATATATATATATATATATATATATATATATATATATATATATATATATATATATATATATATATATATATATATATATATCAGCGCTTTTGATCATTATATGTAAAAAGCGCTTTATATAGATATAGATATTTGAATTTCCCCGCTGTTGTTTGAGTTCTTGTATACGTCGGGAGCGTCTGATTGTTGGACATGGGAAAGATAAAACATGGGACAGATATGTTGATGACGTTCTTGCTACAGTAAAGAAAGACATGACAAACGAAATTTTACAGACCATAAACAATACTACAGAAAACATTAAATTTACTATGGAAGAAGAACAAAACAACCAGCTCGCTTTCCTCCACATTCTTTTGACAAGAACTGATGACGGCACAATACAAACACAGGTTTATCGAAAGAAAACGCATACTGATCAATTACTAAACTATAACAGTAACCATCCCACTCAACACCAAATAAGTTGTACGTATAAAAACCTTATTCAACCGAATTGATACACACTATAGCACAGAACAAGCAAAACAAGCAGAACGTAACTACCTTTACTCAACGTTTATCAAGAACAACTACCCAAGGAATTTTA